GTCTCAATCCCATTGTGTGGATTTACAGTGTTTGTCATTTGCTCCGCTTCCAAGTGGGAATCGATCCTATGATTGGGGTCTTTGGAGGGTGATTTCTCAGTGTCCATCAATAGGAATTGGTACCATATGCATGAGTCTATGTCCTTGCACTACATCTTATGTGGCATTGCATGGTTCTTAATTGATGATGTTATATTGTGTTGATTGAGCTTGGAAGATGAATTTTTGAATCAATTATGGTGATACTTTAGGCTTATTCTGCTATGTCTATTACTTACATCTTATATAATGATTGTGATAAACTCACCATTTATGCTTGAATGTTTCCTCTACATGGGTAACATGCAGGTAATCAAGAGTAGTCCCTAAATGCTTGGAAGAATAGCTTCGGAGTGTGATTTATTTCTGTTGAGTCCAGAAGATCTTTCTTTGATATGTAACACCTGGGACGAGAATGCTTCGTTTTGAAAAATATTTTATTCTTGTTTTGTTATGACATTTAAATTGTTTCCATGGAGTTTAAATTATGTTTAATTGTGAATCATGAATCATGGGGCACTATGAAGTGTTTTAAATGAAACTTGTTTGAACTATGATTTCGTTGCAAATATGTGAAACATTGATAATGCATATGTCATGAATAATTTTGAAAACCCGTGTTACGGAGTAAAACTAACGCATATGATTATTTCACGAATAAAATGTGACACCCTTGTGTTGTATTACTCTTATATTACTTTAAATAATTATGAATGCGTAGTTGGGTTCAGAAGGGTGTTACATTAGTGGTATAAGAGCAGGTCATTTCATCCGGCCAAGATTTATATGATGTTTATTCCTTGTTAATCGATTAGTATCTGAATATTGTTGATATGTTGATGTTTCTAATGTTGGTCTGTCCGCACTATAACATTCCAACAGCTCAGGTGTTGAAGTGCATTAAGTTTGAGAATGGACTGCGTCCAGAGATCAAGCAGGGTTTTGGGTATCTGCAGATTTGTCAGTTTCCTGAGCTGATGAATAAGTGCATGGTTTTTTTATCAAGATAGTAGGGACAAAGCTTATTATTATAAGAATTATAATGAGAAGAAAGGGAAAAATTAAGATCATTGTAAGTTGTATGCTTCTCCAGGTGATAACACTCTGGGGGAATTACTTCACACTAAACCGCTCCCTACTGGCTGTTTGAAAATATCGGTTGACATTGCTTTGGAGAAGGATGCGTTATTACCACATCCTGACGATGTTTCAGATACCACACTTGTGGGAGATGCAATAGGCTCGTTTGTTGCATGACCATCAAGCCTCATTAGTGTAGATGATGAGGTATGCTTAAAACCATATATATGAACCTTTAAGTAATCAAAGTCTTTACGTACATTTGTTTTTACATGGTTATGTTAATTAGACTCTAACAAAATCCAAAGCAAAAGACAATGGGATTTCGCGGCAAACCGAGTTAGTGGCATCAATCATAGAGGTACATCACAATTATATGATATTTATGCATGAAAAATGTTAATTCGTGATCTTATACTTCACATAACTAATTATATGATCTTTATATTCATGCTAAAGAGAATGAAGATGCAGATAGGGGTAAGAATCCTGAAATTAGCAACATTTCCACACAAAAAAGGTTGTTGCTAAGAATATCGCGGCTAAAAAAAACCTACTTCAAAGTTTAGTTCCTGCCTTGGGACATTTTTAGAAATGTCTGATATTCCAGAAGGAAATACTCGTCTTCTACCTATGGAGTTTGCTATTTTTGGTTTTGAATATTCTGAAGCAATTAGTATGGAGGATTTTGATCAAGTTTTACAACATACACAATTAGACATCGGTGTTGTTAATACATACATAAGGTATATTCGATCTACTTTGTCTAATTAATTGATCAATTTGTTTACTCATTTCAAATGTTAATGAGGTCTTTTATTTAAGGTTTTTTTATGAAAATTGATACGCCCGAGTGGAATGGAGCAAAGATTCGCTTTCTTATCTCCTTTTAGTACTAACTTAGGGTTAATCATTCATAAACCAGATGAAGTCATGGTGTATGTACTTGAGCGCTTTATGACCGACAAAGATACTGAAAAGTTGTTTTTTTTACCGCTTAATACCAGCAACGGGTTAGATTTTCATCCTAAATTAATCTATTATAAATTTTCATATTTTGACGTTGTGTAGAAAGTTTTCATCTCACATTTGTTTAATCTTACAGTGGACATTGGTTGTTGGTCGCGATTAATCCTATCAGAGAAGTTGTATATTATATGGATTCTTTATGCAATGATCCAAGTACATACCAAGATATGAAGAATATGGTTGATACGTAAGTGAAATTGTTCTAAATATTCGTGTGTATATTTATTTATTTATTTATGTGAATTGTTATAAATATGCGTTTATGTTTTATTAGTATTATACAAGTTTTTTGAGCACAAAGAGGTGTTCAAGTACCAAAGAGTAAAACCAACAACATTACATGGATCATAGTGGAGGTATATTAATTAATTATCACAATTTTGATTATATTCATAGTGATGATACTTGATAAAACTTAGGCCTTATCCATATTTTCTTTTCATGTGTAGTGTCCTTGGCAGCGTAAAGAAGTAGATTGTAGTTTTTATATGTTGAGGTTTATGAGAGAAATCCTTCTTTTGGATCGAATAGAGATTCCGTCTAAGGTATGGATTTCTAACTTAGGAGTTATTTTAATATTTAACACATATTTCTCATATAATTAAATAGTTTTAACTTAAACATACTATGTTATATTATTATGTAGTACTTTGATGAATTCAAGTGTGCTTATTACTCAAGTTCTCAGTGGGATGAACTTAACGAGGATTGGTGTCAATACATTAGTGAGACGAAAGCTATATAAGGTATATTGTAATCTTACTTTAACTGATAAGAATTTTGAGTATATTCAAGTGTTGCAATTTTGTTGTTGTTTGTCATGTGGTAAATTATATATATTTTGTTTGTATTGTTGTATAAATTACGATATTTTGGTGTTGTTTTAGGTTATATGTGCATATGTAGAAGATAAAGATGAATAGATTTTGTAATGATATATAATTGTGTTATTTTGGTGTTGTTTTTTTATAAAAGTATATATGTACAAGAGTAATAGTATATATATATAAGTACATTGGTGCAAATGTATAGTATCTTTTGGTATTATTTTTTATTGGATTGAATCTCCAATATTAGTGAAAATCTGGTGAAATTTATAATGGTATATACAGGTGTAAAATGTGGTGAAAATTTGGTGCAAATATGGTTAAAATCTATGCATATAAAATTGTATATATCAAACATCGTTTTTTTTTTCAAAAAGTTTATATAAACAATTTCGTTGACATTAGACAGCGCTTTAAAAAATGCTGTCTAAAGTCCCCTTTAGACAACGCTTTTACTGTAAAAGTGCTGCCTAAAGGGGATCTTTTTTTTTAAATTATTTTTGTTTCAGAAAAAACGTTGGCTAAAGGGGGCCTTTAGCAGCGCTTTAAAAAAAAGCGCTGCCTAAAGAGGACTTTAGACAACGCTTTAACATTAAAAGCGCTGCCTAAAGGGGCTTATTTTAAAAAAAAATTGTTTCAGAAAAAGCGTTGTCTAAAGGGGGCCTTTAGCAGCGCTTTAAAAGTAAAAGCGCTAGCTAATAGGGGCCTTTAGTAGCGCTTTAAAAGTAAAAAGACTGGCTAAAGGAGACCTTTAACAACGCCTTCAAAGTAAAAGGGCTGCCTAAAGGGGGAATTTAGCAGCGCTTTTACTTTTAACAAAGCGATGTCTTTACCTACAGCAGCGCTAGAATAGACAATACTTTAAAGCGTTGTCTAAAGTCTTGTTTGGCGTAGTGTTCTCAATAATTCTACACAGTGATAAAATTTCTTTCTCTCAACTCCCTTTTTAAAATAAAGGGTTAAATAAGTTTTTGATCTTTATAAATATCTCAAATTTTATTTTTAGTCCCTATTAAAAAATGACATATTTTGGTCCTTAAAAAGTTTTTATTCATGCAGTTTTAGTCCCTGTTATTATCTTAAATTTTGAAAATTGTTTATTTACCCTTAAAATTTTAAATTTTTGAATAGTTTTTTTCATACGCGTGTTGAATACTATAAAATATTTCTTTACCAAATTTTAGAATTTTTTAATTTGAGATGAATTAAATATGAATTCTTAAATTTCAAAAGATATTGATGAAAGTAATGAAAATCTCGACTTATAAATCAAATTTTGAGTCCCTTTTTTTTGAAGAAACTTTTTATAACGTTATAAACATGTATGCAAAATAATCATTTAAAAATACACATTAGTTTAATAGAAAATACTAAAACTACGTGCATAATAATTTTGTAGGAATTAAAATATGCAATGTTTTTTATAAAGATAAAAAAAAATTGGATAATTTATAGGGACCAAAAATATATTTAACCCTAAAATAAAAACATAATTCCCTTATTATAAGATATTCCTACCTTACCCTCATTTTTTTCTCTAATTCGTCCCTTATCCTCAATAACTCTAAAAACTCATATTTTCTTTTTATTTTAGGTTGTGTTATTATACTTTTGAGTTCAACATGAAATGTACATATAACATTTGCAAGGAATAAACATCATTTTTTTAACTGATTAACATATTTCTAAAAAATATGAAAATCCTATTTTTTATTCAATAAATATGTAAACATCTTAGTCACTTGATAGCTGCCATTGTGTGAAAACCTTGCTTACCTCGTAAACAAAATAACACAATATAACCTTTCATGGCTCTATAGATTTTAATGACCCATTATCATATCATCTACATAATTATTATACATGATAATTTGTTGTACACTATAATATTACATTATTTTGGTTGTACAATTTAATCAATCTAATCAAGCTCATTTTCTTCTTATATTTATCTTTTCTCATTAAAATAGTTGCACATTCTATTCCACATATTACACAAGAAACTCTTAATTAGTTGTAGCAGGGATGAAAACCAAGTTGTCTATCTTCTTATGCTATGCACTGCTTCTTGTCTTTGTTGTAAAAGCTATGCCTTTCGAAGTTAGGAAACAAGGTATCTATATAAATAGTTTTTATTTATGCACAATTGTTTTTTTTATTTACATTATATTTAATAAGATTTTTTATTTATTTTTATTTGTAGATGGTGAAACAAAAGAATCAAAGACAAATATTAGAATTAATGGATATGTACACAATCCTGTCAAATGTAAAATTTGGAAAGGCTTCATAAATTATTTTCAAGGTCGAAAAGTGGATGACTCAGGAAACGTCATAAAATTTCCTAGTGGTGGAAGATCAGGCTACGGTGGAAAGACCATAAACTTTCCTGAAGGTGGAAAAGGTGGCGTCGGCAGAAATATCATAATCTTTCCCAGAGTTGAAGAAGAGAGTGATGATGGAAAAGTTGGCGATGGAGGATAAACCTAGTTCCATGAACTAGACTCATAGGTATCAAGTGTTCTCAACTTCTAAATCATAGATTACATTTTTAAAAGAAATTTGAAGTTTCTATGATTTTATTGCATGTAAAATACTAATGTGTAGGAATTGCTTTATAAATGAACACATCTAGTTATTGTTGAGTTATAGGTCATACATGATTGGTATAAATATTTTTATATGACTTTATGTTGGAATAACTATTTGTCACCCCCCAACAACTTAAAGATTCTATACCACACAGACAATGTTAGCACACAAGTAACCGTCTCAACCAAATACTCCTACAAGCGACAAAAAATCCTAGTGGAATAAAAAATCACCAATTTATTAGACAGGTGCTATCTAAACCGAAGTCTATCTTACAATAGTTTTCAAGAGAAGACCAATTCTTAGAAAGAGTTTAATTCGACTCTCTAACGGAATAGTGCCAAAGAAAGATCAAACAAACCTTTAGAGAAAGGTAAGTGAATGCCACTAAAAAATCACCCTCGCGAGCATGCTTTGAACTCCACTTGTCTATATCCAAAGAAAAATTGACATATCAAAGCAAATATAAGAGCTCTTAAAAAGCAGAAAGCTCTCTTAGAAATAAGGGCCTTCTCCATCTAAGATCCAGAATCAACACCCCATTGACCACCAAATTTAACTCTCTAACCAACCCATCCGATTGTAAAGCCGTAGAGAACAAATTGAGAAACTTAATCGCTAAGGAGATTGTCTCTAATCAAGAGTCCTTTCAAAATGAAGTTACCTAACTATCTTAATGACGCCATACACAAATATATGCATTCACTCTCTTTAGACCGAAGAAGAGACACCCATTTTCACCATGGATGAATTGTGATATTCAAACTCGTAATTAATTTAAAAAAATATTTTACTTTAAATACAATTTATGCTAGTGAATATATAAATCATCGTAAAATAGAAAGGAAGGGGATAGAGAAGAGAGAAAACTAAATGTCTGAAACAAAAGATATAGGGATAGAGAAATTGCACCAAAAGTTTTACAAGTTCAGCCTAGCCACTTGGCATACTCGTATCACCAAAAATTCTATCTTGACACTTCCACAAATAAAAATTCTTGAGCGTTTCAGAATGTACCCACAAAAATTATTACAATAAATGAGAAATTTTAGAAAGGATGATCCTCCAAACCAAAAGGAGCTTTTGAGGTTTGAGCTCACAAATCAAATAGAGATTTCACTAACTAATCTCAAGAATGAAATAGAGATTTTACCAGCACAATCTCAAGAACCAAATAGAAATTTTACTTGGACAATCTCAAGAAATAAATAAAACAAACAAGAAAATTGCACTCTTAATGAAGAACACTTAAGCAAGAACACCAAAACATCCAAACTTCAAAAATATTTTTCAATCACAAGACAATAAGTGAAATAATGGAAAAGGAGAAGAAACTAAGAAAGAAGAGATTCAAAATGAATTATGGTGTGATTTGGAATGAATATAAGCTATGTATTTATAGGAGAAAATATAGTTCAAAAATAAAACAATTCATGATATTTTTAAGGCATGTAATCAATTTTGACCGAAGGTTAATAGATTACATAAGCCAAATTTGAAATGTTATCAAATTTATCTTCACTAATCAATTAAAATCTCTTTTAATTGATTAGGAGGCATTACAAAAGAATTAGTTTATTAATTCTAGTGTATTAATCAATTATCTTGTGTAAAGAACACTCCTAAATGTGTAATCGAGCTAGTAGTCAACTTGGCAGGTGTGTAGAACGTTTTCAAGTGATTTTCGAAAATCAGATATTCTTCAAAAATAGTTTATTGTGTGTATGAGAACTTCCTTAGTAACTTATGAGTTAGTCTTATACATTTACAATAATATAATCACTTAGACATATGACCAGGCTAGTTTTACAACTTCATCTTTTCCCACAACTTTGAAGCTTTAAACCCATTCTTAATTAATTATTGAGTCATTACTTTGTATTAGACATGTTTCTCATAAATGATGAGGCTTAATATGACTTCTTTGATAGAAACCATCATTAAATGTTTCTTGATTAGAAATCCTTAAGGACTCCATCGAATGTCACTTGACATTAGGTGTTATCCGCAGTAAAACCACCAAGATCATGCCACTAAAACCATTTGCACATAACTTTACCTGCAAGAATATAGCTCCACATTAGGGTAAAGCACCAAGAAAGTATCATCATCATATTGAAGATAATATACCACCAATCTAAATGTTTTCACCTTAAACCCAGAGTAAAGACTAATCTCCTTAAAATTGATAACTAGGTCATTAAGCCCTTTAGCCACAAGAAGGAAAAGGAAAGGAGATATAGGATTGTCGAATCGGGAAAATTAAGATTAAACTACTGATTAAATTAACTCGAAAAAATAAAAGTCTCCACCAAACTTTATTGTTTCAAAAGGAAAGGTAAAATATCGATAAAACCCGATGCAAAAATAAAACAAAAGAGATATCTGAATACGAGGATTGGTTATGCAAGGAGAATATATTAGCACCACTCACATCTATGGTACTCCTTAGAACCTCTTAAAACTTTGTGTTATGATAAAACTAAGTTGTTTGCAAAAATATTGGGGTGATGCAAAAAGAAGTATTTTATTATTTTTATGCTCGCCAAGACTTTAAGAGTCTCGTGTCTACGTATCCTCCATGTGAAATGAAGAAGTCAGAGCCTCATAGTTCGTGGTAAAAATAACCACGAAATTTTGTTAATTGATTTTAAATTGAAAATATATTTCATCGTACTCGAGTAGAAAACACAACTTACTACATATAAGCACATCTCAACATTCAAGTAAAAAATGTCAATCAATTCACAACATATTGTAGAAGTATAATGGTTTACATCACTACTAGAATAGACTAATATCTAATCTTTTAAAAAGGTTTAAAAGAAAGTGCACAACAACACAAAAATAAATTTGATGAGGTTTTTATTTTTTTAGAATGTTTTGAAAATAGTTTAAATATGCATAAGTGTGTTAGTATTTATTAAGAAAAAAATATTTTTGGGGTCATTTGACAAGGTCAAGGTTTATTAGGAAAAGTTTGAAGTTTGAAGAAAGATGTTTTGAAAATAGGGAGATGTTTTGAAAATTGAAGAAGTAGGTAGGAGATGAGGATACTATCCTAAAACATAAAGTAAATGGCATGAAATAAAAGGTCTCATTGTAAAGTAGCCAAAGAGAAAGCCTTTGTATGTGCACGTGTACTAACCACAAGATGGAGCAAGCATTCGATATTGGTCAAAATGACCATTCCTTTCCGTTTGAATTAATCCATGAGATAATCAAATCACATGGGAAAATACATAAGAAGATGAACCATGAGGAGAAAGAAATGGAAGCATATGAACACCAAAAGGTCTAGATGAATATTAAGGTCACAGAGCCACAAAGAGAATTTCTGAAGGTGTGAGAAACACAAGAAAGGGGTTGGAATTGCGTTTCACCATAAATAATTTTAAATCTTTTTCGTTGATGAAAGACCAAGTTAACCTAGAACATAAAATAAATGAACACAATTATTTTTATCTTGGTTCACTGTTAACTAAGCTACTCAAGGCCACCCCTCAAGGTGATTTGCCTTCAACAAGGACTTAATCCATTATAATCAAATTGATTACAGATAACCTACAATAAGTCAGATTAACCTTATTGGAAACCCTAATAAATTTGTCTATCCTTATTGCAAATCCACTCAAGCTGCGGCATGAGTCTTCTTGAGATCAGACCTTCACTCGGTCACTCAAGGAATCAATCAACAACAGTTGAATACTTCCAGTGTATTACAATGTGCTTCTTTTAATAAAATTACACAGACGTTTCAGTACAAATAAAAACACCTAAGTGTTTTACAAAAATATACGATTAACAACTCCTTGCCTATTTGCAAAACTATACACAAAAGATTTCTCTAAAGTGTTGCACAATTCTTTTGTGTAGTTTTGCTTGATCTTGATTTAATCTGATAGATTTTTGTAATGTTGATTCTTATGTATCTTCAAGTTCCAAGTATTTATTTTATAGCTTGTAAAAGAGATCCATTGAAAGGGTAGAAAGGTAATCAGAAATATAGTTGTTTATTCTCAACTATCATAATGAGAGTGGTTACAATACAATATGAATGGACCGTCCTTACAACACCTTAGAGGATAGCAGTCACAGACACTTTATGTAACTTTTGTACACCTTCACACGTTAACCATTTTTAACTTCTTCTTATCTTCAGAGGCTTTAGATAGTTTGAATGTTTGAAGCTAGTTGTAGTAGAATCACTCTTAAGTCTTAGAACCTAAGTCTTGAAGTCTTCGGAACTTGTCCTATTAGAACCTTGTCTTCAGAGTCTTCAGCACTTGGTCATAAGAACTTGCTTGTCTTCAGATCATCAGAACTTGTTCATTAGAACCTCGTCTTCATAATCTTCAGAACTTGTAACACACAAAAGCAAAGCTTTAAAAGGCCTCCAAAGCTTAACCACCAAGTCACGATCAGAACCTCTTGTACTAACGTTTCTAAGAACCGTTTCATTAGATAAATTCCAGAATCTTGACTTCAACTGTAACACGTAACCATATGTTTTCTTATAGTTGTGTTTATATTCCGAACATGATGACGTCACACGCCTTAATACTAGGGTTATAACATTACAATAACAACTACACACTAGAACGAAACCATTAGAATATACAATTATTTTCTATGATATCATATAAAGTTATCATCAAAATATTAAGGTCATATGTAGAAACACTTCTTGTTTTTACAATCTCCCCCTTTTTGATTATGAGAAAACCATGTATTTTGATAGAATAATTTATATAGGGTAATCACCATAACCGACAATTCAAATTTAAGCTCGCAGCTTCCCCTGAATCTATTAATCCCAAAATTTTATTTATGCTTGTTCAGAGTCTCCCCATGAGCCCAAGACTCACACAATAAATTTTGAGTTTCAGAAT